CGGTTATGGCTGATGTGGAGGCCATGTTCCACCAGATAAGGTCAGCGACAAGACACAGATCTATTCAGGTTTCTATGGTGGCCTGAAGGGAACTACAACCAGGAACTTGTTGAACACAAGATGTTGGTCCACATCTTTGGTGCAACATCTTCGCCAAGTGTTGCAACTTTTGCGCTACAGCAATGTGCAAAAGATTTTGAAGAGGAATTTGGACAGGAAACTGCCAAGACGGTCAAGAAAAACTTTTACGTCGATGACTGTCTTAAGTCAACTACTGATGAAGACACAGCAATCAAGCTTTGCACTGATGTGAGAAGCATGTTGGCTAAAGGTGGATTCCGTCTAACAAAATGGTCAAGCAACAGCTGGAAGTTGCTTAACTCGATTCCTGAAGAGGAAAGAGCACAAGGATTTAAAGACCTGGACTTGGATGACTGCAGTTTGCCAATAGAGAGAGCGTTGGGAATCCATTGGTGTGCTGAATCGGATCAGTTCAAATTCAAGCTCAACCTCAAAGATCGACCACACACAAGGAGAGGCCTGCTCTCTTTTCAGTTCCATCTTTGACCCACTGGGTTTTCTAGCTCCTGTACACTGCCCGCCAAAAGAATCCTACAAGATCTCTGCAGGCAGAAATACAGCTGGGACAAAGACCTGCCAGAGCAGTTGTGAAGATCTGGAAAAAGTGGATCTCAAGTTTGCAACAGCTGGAGAAGTTTGGAGTTGACAGATGTATCAAGACAAAGCAGTTTGGTACACCAGTCTTTGCACAGCTACATCACTTTGCTGATGCAAGCGAAGATGCCTATGGTACAACAAGTTATCTACTGCTGCGTAATGCATCTGGAGAAGCCCAATGCACCTTGGTGATGGCTAAGGCAAGGGTCGCACCTTTAAAGTCTCCAACTATACCAAGAATGGAACTTACTGCGGCCACAGTCTCAGTCAAGATGGACAAGCTTCTGAAGAAAGAAATCGAACTTGAACTTCAAGACTCAATCTATTGGACTGACAGCACGGCTTTGCTAAAGTACTTGAACAGTGAAAGCACAAGATTCAAGACTTTCGTTTCTAACAGAATCTCAGCAATCTTGGATCACTCTCAGACCTCTCAGTGGAGATATGTTAATACCAACTTGAATCCTGCTGATCACGTGTCAAGAGGACAGACTGTGGAAGCATTCTTGAAGAATGAAAGCTGGCTTTCAGGCCCAAGTTTCTTGCTCAGCATACAAGACCAGTGGCCTAAGAATCCAGACCCTGGAATGCTTGATGTTGATGACCCAGAGGTCAAAAGAGTGGCTCAAGCACATGTCATTCAAGTGCAAGAGCCCAAAGATGTGATGGACCAATTGATGACTTACTACTCATCTTGGACAAATCTAAAGCGTGCAGTGGCCTGGTTTCTTAAGTTGAAAGATTTGCTTAAGGAACTGAAAGCAAAGAGAAAATAAACAAACACATTACATGGTGAAAGCAGAGTGAATCAGTTCAAAAAGGCTTTCAAAGGAACACAGCTAGTCTGTGAAGATTTAAATGAAGCAGAAACTGAAGTCGTGAAGTACTGTCAAAGAAAAGTTTCAAAGAAGATTTGACAATGCTAAAAGAACATCAAAGGGTAAAGAAAAACAGTTCACTCTACAAGTTGAACCCAGTACTCCAAGAGGGAGTCATTAGAGTTGGAGCAGGTTGAGCCGTGCGGCAATGCCTGATGATTGCAAGCAGCCAGTCATCTTGCCAAAGGATTCACACATCACAAAGCTTGCGATAAGACACATTCCCGATTTAACAGCTCATGCTGGAAGGAATCACATGTTGGCTCAATTGCGTCAAAGATTCTGGATACTGGAGCGAATGGAGCCATCAGGAAGTTCTTGTCGAAGTGTGTCCCTGTAAAAGGTTACATGGAACTACTGGCAAGCAGCTCATGGCAGATCTACCAGAATGCAGGGTCCTGCCTGACGATCCTCCATTCACAAGAGTAGGTGTTGACTACTTTGGCCCATTCCTGGTGAAAAGAGGAAGAGGGCAAATAAAGAGATATGGTGTTATCTTTACGTGTCTCGCCATACGAGCAGTACATCTGGAAGTCGCATCTTCACTTGACACAGATGCGTGCCTCAACGCGATCAGGAGATTCCTTGCAAGAAGAGGACAAGTCAAGGAGATTTACTCGATAATGGAACAAACTTTCGGTCGGCTGACAGTGAGTTGAGGAAGTCAATCAAGAATGGAACACCAGTAAGATCGCTGATACCTTGCAACAGAAGGGTGTCCAATGGCACTTTAATCTTCCTTCTGGTTCTCACCATGAGGAAGCTGGGAGCGGCTGATACGCTCAGTAAGAAAAGTTCTTAACATCACGGTGAAGGAACAGGTTCTTGATGAAGAAGGTCTCCATACCTTGCTGTGTGAAGCAGAGGCAGTCATAAACAGCAGGCCCATCACAAAGGCATCTTCAGACCTCAATGATTTCACCTGTTGTTACTGAAGGTTAAACCAGAGTTACCTCCAGGTGTTTTCAACAAAGACGACCAGTATGCTAACCGCAGATGGAGTCAGGTCCAATATCTTGCGGATGTCTTCTGGAAACGCTGGTGCAAGGAATACCTGACACAGCTCCAAGAACGTCAGCGATGGTTCACGCCTGGAAGAAACTTTTGTGTCGGTGATGTGGTGCTGATTGTGGATGACACTTCACCGAGAAATTCATGGCCACTTGGAAGAATCATGACAACCCTGCCCGACAAGAAAGGCCTTGTTCGCCAGGTGAAAGTAAAGACCAAGACTAATGAGCTATGGCGTCCAATAACCAAGCTTTGTCTTCTTCAAGAAACTGAGGACACTTGATCTGTGCTGGAAACCAAGCCCTCAATTAGGATGAGGCATTGATGATAATGGACTAGATCCTAAGCCAAGTATTTGATGGGATGAAGAACAACAAGAAGTTTTCTTTAGTTTAACATAGCATGTGGGCTCTTTTGATTTAAGTTAATGTTTTGAGTAATTGTTTCAAGGGCATTGATAACATATTGTAGGAGCCTTATTGCTCATCATGTTAAATTTATGGATGCATGTAATACTTTTTGTTCATTGGATCTGGGAAGGGGAGGGGCTTGTGGACTTAATTGGGCTCAGTTCGGGCTAGTAGAGAGTGGAGCCACACAGTCTTTTGACCTCTCTCTCCTCATCTTTCTTTTTGTATAGTTTTGGACTAACCTGTATCTGTTTTTTGTTTATTTATGTTTAAGTAAACATTTAAAATTTGATCATTTGGTCCCGTGGATTTTTTGGATGAAAATTGCTTAAGAGAGGAGTTCTGGGAGCGTCAAGCTAGCATCAAGCTTCATTCAGAGGATAACTACAACATGTGTTCTGCACTTTGGGCACTGGTGAGGATGAAGACAAGACACAGAATACTTTTAAAACAGTGCACTTGAATTGAAAATTGAATTCTGAAATACTCCACTACTGGACGACTCACTGGCTTAATTTCAAAGAATTCTGCAGCAGTCAGACGGGCAATGGTCTCTTCAAAGTACTCCATTTCCTTAACAGTCAAAGCCATCATTTTGCAAACCTCCTGGTACGACACGCCCCTAAATTTGAAGTGCTCACGTATTCTGATCTTTATGGTAAATGCTCCAGACTGCAGAGCGAGCAGGAGGAACAGACAGAGAGAGCGAGTCCGTTATTAAGCTCCTTTTCCAGGCAAAAGTGATAAATGCCGAAGTCTTACCGTAAAACCGGCTATGAGATACACGTGTATGAAACGGGAGCAAAAAAAATACTGTTCAGGGAATAGCTAAGGAGGTCGGTGAAATTATTGTGAGAATAATACTGCGAGTCTGCAGTAACTTCCGTTTTTCAAAATGAGGTGTTTGTAGGAGCCATTTTGTGTTTATCGTTGGCATGTTTTATAATTAGACTTATCTGAATATATTATTTTCCAATAGGGACACTGAATGCACAGGGGCGTGTCTATATTGTAGCACAGGTGACAGGAAAGGGAGGGCACAGGTACGGGGAGCACAGACAGTTCTCACCTCATTCATGTTTCAGACCAGCACTCAGACAAACTACAATTCATTCATTCTACTGGCTACGCTTCACTGGAAATTGTATGTTTTTTGCTCTCATATCTTCATCAAGTCACTTCAATAAACCTTCAACTCAACTTTAATAACGGCTGGAAAATCATTGTTTGCATCTGCGTGAGACTTCACCCCTACCTGTGTATTAATGGCAATAATTGGAACAAAGGTAAAAATTGCCATTACAGTGTTCACAATTTAAAAAACAGTTTTCCTGGGAAAAAAATATAAAAAAATATGTTCTTCCATAAGTACACCATGATTCTGATATGGTTGGACTTAGTACTTCTTAGACTACATGCACATGTACTATGAAGTACTTTTACAGTGAACTTTTTGAGAACTGTCAAAGTCCATAATAAATCACTATAATGAGTCTTTTTTTCTGATTTTGATGTCTGTTTAAAACATTTTCCTCCATAAGTACACAATGATTCTGATATGGTTGGACTTAGTACTTCATAGACTACATGTGTGGGTACTATGAAGTACTTTTACTTCATAGTAAGTAAAGTTAAAGTTAAAGTTCCTCCAAGTAAAGAAAAAAATCAACAGTAGTTTGGATAATAATTCTCATTGTCACATTATTTCAAAAAGAAATGTTTAAAATGTAATTCCGTAATTTTACTTATTGAGATAACAAAGTTGATCTTGCTGAATGGTTACTTTTGACATTGGTAACTTAACATACACACTTTCTTATTTTGCAATTGAATCGACAATCATGAAAGATGAAGCTTTCCTTAACTGCTGATTTCATTATACTCATCCTTGCGTCCTTTTGCCCCCTAAGCCTAATATTTTGGCCGACGCTGCTCACTGCCAGACAGATGCACTTGGACGACCTGTGGCCGGGGTGGTGGTCATCTGCAGGGAAAGACTGAAAGGAGAAACGTTTAGTCATCAGGCAGCTGTACAGGTATTATTTTAAATATGAAAAAAACAAAAATGTTCTCGGTAGTTTGAAATTGTGTGTTGAATCTTGTGTGTTCATGTTACAGACTGTGATCCATGAGCTGTTTCATGTGCTGGGTTTCTCTAAAGAGCTCTTCCACACCTGGCGAGACTGTTCCTCCATGTCTCAAGGTTTTTTTTTGAACATAATTGTTTTATGTAATTATATAATACTTTGAGGTCAGCATGTGAAGTGGGCTCAAAAGTGTGCTGTTTAAGTGCCCTTAACAACTCTGAAGTGCCTTTAAAAGTGTGCTCTTTATAGGGCATTCTGAAGTGGGCACACTTTTAAGGGCACTTAAAGTGTGCACTTCAAAATGTGCGCTATTAAAAATGTCACTTTGAAGAGACCTTAAGTTTAAACTTTGAAGTTCCCTTAATAGTGTGCTCTCTTAAGTATTGTTTAATGTGTGGCAGTAAAGTGCCCTTACAATTGTGCAATTAGAAGTTCACGAAAAAGTGTGCACTTTTAATTTTGTTTAAAAGTTCCCTTGAAGTATGCACTTAAGTGGGAACTCAAAAAATGTATAATAAGAAGTTTGGATTAAGATTGAACTTTTAAGAGCACTTAAAGTGTACACTTTGAAGGGCCCTTAAAAGTGAAAACTTTTAAATATACTTTAAATTGTTAACTTTGACATATACTTCAAAATGCCCACTTCAATTGATTTACTCAAAATGTGGCACTTTTGGTGTGCACTTTACAGTACACAAAACATTGGAATCTTTAAGTATACTTCAAAGTGTGCTTAGATATCCATGTGACTTCACATGCTTTTGAAAGTGTTTTTAACCCTGGATGAAAAATCGTTCTTGTTTTTTTATTTTTTAGCTGAGTGCCGACTGTTCTCCTCAAGGGAAAGTGACCTACTCTGATGGATCCGGCCACATGAGGATTTACCCCATCTGTCATCTCAGCCCTGCAGAAGCACCTGAACTCCACTGATCCTGAGCTTGGGGATGGCTAGAGAACCTTGTACAGAACAGCGCTTCAATTCAAATCCTTTAGCAGAGCTGCAGAACCACTCCAACTTAACCAGATTTGTCAAGAGGCCTCCGTTATATGATCTTCTACTTTGTTAATGCAGGGTGTACTTCCTGGCAAAGTGTCCTCACACTGGGAGTCCAGGATCTTTCAGGGCTCCATCATGGCAGCAGAGCTAGCGGACTCATCTTCAGTCCGGATCAACCCGGTAACCTTGGCTGCATTACAGGACACGGGCTGGTACAATGTAGACGTGAGCAGTGCACAGAGTCTGGTGTGGGGAAACGGTAAGTATAGGAAAAAGAATAAAAAATTATGTTTGGATCCCTGTCAATCTGTCAGAACAAATCCTCATTGTTTTTCTGCTCTGGCAGGTATATTAAGTTATAATTGTTTATCTCTACAACATACAGTCTGGATAGGAATGTAAGCCACTTTTTAATTTAAAATGTTACATTTTCAGCACTAAATGTTTGCGTTTCTTCTTCTCAGTGGGTTTGGGTGTCATTACCTTCACCTCCACAAAGGGGAGTGCAAGACTGATCAATACCTGGAGGGATGCAGTGTGTATAAACCCCTCAAAAATGGAGTAAGAAGTATTTCCTGCTTTGTAGTAATTTCAAATGATGTAAAACAGCTTTGTGGGATCAATTCTATTTTTCATGCCAACGCTTTCAGTCTTTTTTTATGTTCATATGAGCATCACGTTTACCCTCTCCACCTTTTCCCTTCAGAGTGAGTGCTGGAAAAAGGAAAACCCCAGGCGGTCAGCTGGTCCCGTTACAAATAAAAAGTTAAGAAAAGAAAGGGAATGACTTTCCTTAACGATAAATCTGGCTAAGACTTGATTGATTATTTACATTTAGACAAGATTTGGTGTGATTGACAAAACAGGTTACTCAATCTGAGTAATTCCCATATTTAAACACCGTGCACCATTAAAAACAGCAGCTGATTTATTGCCTTTCTAAAGTAATAGTGTAATGTTTGTATGTAGTGAAGCATGTCTTGTGTTAAATGTGCAGTCTATTTAATGAAACCAGATGTAATCTAATGTCTTTTGTGTTTTTTTACAGTCAGATTGAAGGATACCAGGGTTCAGTTTCCTGTCCTGACAGGAGGTTGTGTCTGTGTCTGTCATGTGTCGATACATTTCCTGCAGGATCAGGATCCACACCCAGCACAGATGAACACAGTAATCTGTAGGAAACACAGCCTCTAAAACCGGCTTTATAAACTTTAATTGTTCTATAATTTTGTTTGTCTCTTCTTAGTAATTTATCTGAAGGCTGCGTTGTAATTGTAGAGTTATTCAGTCACAGAAAAAATGCCTTTTTATGACAATTTTTATTGAACAGAGTAATGTGAAAACATAAAGATAATCTGCTGTGATCAAACGCAGCTCAAAAATATCAATCAGCTGGTTTCTCACCCTACATACATTATATTGATCAGAAATGATACCAAAAAAACATAATGAGGAAACATGGCCAAACCAAAAAACAGTATCTATATATATATATATATATATATAAGACCCTAACAGAAAAACTAAGATGAAAATGATAAATGAAGTGAAATTAAACTCAATTTGGAGCATAATATTATTCCCAATTCTAACACATGTACAGAGAAGTTTGGGTAGAATACAGACACCTTTTTGTGTTACCACCACTTAGCAAAATATTACAAGAAGTAGTAATCCCCTGAGTATAAACTGTCATTGTGTAAAATAAACTGTATAATTATGGATGCTCAATGTGTCTTGAGAATCAAATAAATCACTAAGCCCTCCATTTTCTTAACTATCACTCCAATTATTTCCATGATGGTGAAAGAGATAAAACTTGAAGTCAGTATGAAATATTTTAAAATAATGATTGCACTCAGTGAATGTCTTTCAAACCAGTTGTTGGCAGTTTTCAAGCTCCCCTTCTAATTTTAAAGCAGATCCCATATGGCTCCCTGAAAAAGTCCAAACAGTCCTCAAACACTGTCACCTTCACAAACTGGCTTGAGATCAGAATATACCAATAAATTCAGTCTTTACTGAATACTGTGTTGCATTTCATAAAAATATACATTTGGCTGAAAACTGCTGTTTAACCATAACTGATTATATTCTGTTGCATTTAATAATCTACATTACACATGGACATGTGTCACAGGCGGGGTAATTCACCATATTCCCATGATGTCATGCTCAGAGTGAGAAGCTTACCTTTTACTTCTGTGATCTAGATTGTAACTCAAATGCAGCAGAATGGCTTGTGATATGAAATGAGGCTCTTTATAGAGTTGAACTAGTTTGCTCTTTACACTGTTTGATTCTGCAGCTTTGCGAAAGAAACCCTGCTGGCATTTGATCAGGCTGCACCAAGTTTAACATTGACAGTTTTCCTACTTAAGGTACATGCTGAAGTGACAGTCTGCTACATTGCTGTAATACATCCCCCCACAAAAAAATAAACTCCAGCATTGTTAATTCTTTCACACGTCATCTTATTTCCTCTTCCATACTGGTATAGAGGTCTGTCTTGGGGCGACACCATCAGTGCAAGCACTGTAATATGAATAACAGACTGCAGAGAGCTTCAAGCACACAAAACAGAACTTCTTCTTACACCGGGTACAGACGATGCTTTTGCAGTGAATTGTGCTGTGCTCGATCAAACCCACAGGTGGGACAGGCACGGACAGAGGACAGCTGGTCACCATCTTAACATCCTTTAAGGTGATCTCGGGACACTTTCTCAGGATTTCCAGTGGCTGATTAACACATTCAGGGTTTGCACAGTGGTCAGCATGTTCAGATGGATGTGTCCATTTCTTCAAACACTGCCAGCAGAATTCGTAAGCCCTTGCTTTGTTACGTGTGCACACTGTGCAGCAAACCCTCAGGTCATTCTGGTCCTCTCTCACCACTAAACTCTCACAGCCGGGACACTGTTGAGTGAATTTGGTTGAAAATCAAACAAATAATAAAAAACATCTTCAGTATGAATGCACAATATCTCTTAGAACCTGTGATTGGTAGATACTTACTTTTTTGGCACCAAAGTATTCTTTGGCGACTCTATTGAACATTCTTTTATCAATGTATGTTGTTTCTGCAGGAGTCAGCAGAGCCATTTTGCAAACCTCTTCAAATGACCACACAGCATCACAATTAGGTTGGCCACAAACAAACTCCATCTTACCCTTGAGAATTAAAGAGAAAATCAATCAAATGTACTTAATTGCCACTGTCCTTTACTTTTACCACCATGAATTAAGTGACAGATGAAGAGCTGAAAAGAAGTCCTTAATGTTATCAAATAATAGACATTTAAAATCCTCATGCCTTAAGAGACACGAAGTGGATTCAAACAAAAAATAAAAAGTAAATCTACTGCTCATAGTTCATAAGATCCATAGCTCTAGAACAAGCCTGACAATCAACCTAATAGTTGTTTTCCAGTTTTGAAAATGTGGAGAAACATAACAAAATAATAGTTTTCTAATACCTGGTCCAGCTGCCTGCGACACCAGTTGATGAGAGACGTTGGAGTCACAGTATGACCACAGGACATCTTTGCTCTGAGAGACTTGTAGTCATTGAGCTCAACTAGAGGAGAAAAAGAGCAACAGACAGTGGTAGTTAGTTTTGTATTTAAAGAATGACACCCAACAAGGTGTCAGGTCAGGTATCAGGAATTTATGGACGGAGAGGAGATCAGGACAGCTGTTTTTCAGAGTCTAAAGTCCCTTCATGAAGAACACCTTGAAGTGCATCATTTACCTTATACCACGGTCGATTGCTAAACAGGATAAGGCATACTGCTGCCTGTAGTTAACATTAACTCTGTTTTCCTGCTCACGCCTCAGGGTTTGACTTATTCCTGAAAAAAGGACATATCCCAAAATGTTCTGCTGCAATGAAAACATTAAACACTTCTTCTGTGAGTAGGCTATAGCAACAAAATACAAAAGGCTGTAGGCTGCTTTACAATTACAACTTTACAACTAGGCTATCGATTTTTCAGTAGCCTAATTAACTGAAAACCTCCAAATAACCTTAAAATATTAAGTATAGGCCAATTCACCTTATTATAGGCTATATGTTTAATAAAATTCAGATTAATTTGGGGGTTCTGTTCTCTTACAATCCATTTGATCTTCTCCATCGACGAATGTAAACCTTGTGTCATTTGGGTCGTAACACCTCTCCTCCTGTTCAGCTGTCAAAGTGCAATTCTCTGGTTGTAAATCAACATTTGGTCCAGTTTCCAAATTGTCCGATGAGTTACTTGGTTCAGCATCAAACGTTGATGGAGTTAATTTTGTCCTCACTCTAGGTCGTAGCGCCGTGTTCGCATGGGATAAACATCTCCTGCTTGCAGCTGGGTTCCTTGATTTTGTCTCCGTTTCCAAAGATCTTCTCCTGGGAGCAGTTCCAACTTGTCTGGTCTGTGTTGGCTCCGTGGATCTTCGTTGACGTGGCGGATTGTTCCCCATCTCGACTCCGTCTCAACAACGGATGTGTAGCTCCAGTAGTTTATTCACCTGTCTAGAAGTCACATGATGTCCAATCAGCTCATAGGTGACGCATTTCAGATATCCTACACACCCTCGTTAACCTTTTAAATGCACTGGGATCGTTTGCACTTGGACACGTCTCTTGCAGTGCTCTGATCTGGCTTGGTTGCAAAATGGGGATCCAGGTGAATGTACACGGTCCCAGAGGAGAAGAAAAGATCATCGATCTGTGTGACAACATTGAGCAGATGAAGAACATCACTGTGGAGCAGCTTAAACGGAAAATCAGAAACGACCTCGGGATAAGTACGTCTCACTTCATTTTCAGTAGTAGTAGTAGTCCCCTATTTCTTAATTGTTATATGACTATTATAACATAGGCCTACCCACGCGGAAAAATACATTTGTTTTTCTGACAGATCAGAAAACATTTATCGTTTTATTAGCCTTAAACTTCTGAATGTGTTTATCTATAAAAGCCAGACCTGAGTTATTTTTATTTCTGCACAGAGGATGATGTCCGGATTGTGTTCCGAGCCGAAACCCTGGAGGAGTCAACTCTGGTGATGGCTTACGGGATCCGTCACCTTTCTACCATCCACACTCTTATACTTCTGCCCGGAGGAAACTGATGTGGAACCATTGACTGTGTATCAAAATAATATAAATGTGGAAAAGACAAAGAAGAAAAAAACACAAAGACTCTGAACTACACTGCTGTCATATGTTCCATATGAACTGCAGGAAAATAAATTGTTGAATTTCCCTTCTCTTAAAACCTCTTTGTTTTGAATTTGTCAGAAAATCAATACTCTGAATATGTAGGCCTGTACATATCCTACGTTTCACAGCATTTGAATGTTACAGTCTAGATTACATGGAAGTAGTCTAAATGCAGTAAAAGGACAATAAAAATGACGCAAATGACCCCAAGCTATAAAACTCTTTATTGTTGAGGTTTCAGAATGGAGATAGCCTAAAACACAGTGCTGGCTGTTAAGTTACTGTTATCATACACTATTTTAATTATTATTTTAGAACCATGCAATTGCTCAGGTTGAATCTGATTGAATCTAAAAACGTCTTTTAGCATGAAACAGAACAAGAGCTCTGTATTTTAAACATTTTATTAAGAGTTCAGTTATTTGAATTTGTCTTTATTTTTCAGTTACAATTTTGTTAAAATTGTTTTCTCAATATATGACGATCATCCTGTGATTTCCATTTCCAAAATCATTTGAGCTGCATTTCATGTATGACAGCTTTTATAATGTACGTTAACAAAAACACACTGTAGGCCTACAGTACTTAATGTTATTAAAGCCTGCAGGGACAGAGAAGCAGTAAATACAATACAAATGATCTGTTTTCTCCTGCCTTGCAACAAAAATGGAAAAGATAATAAACTAAACTAAACTCAATGTTTGTTGACATCAATAACAGATGAAGAGAGGGCTTCTGCAGAAGAAGCCAAATTGTCATGTTATGTTACTGTACAGTAATGTATGAAGCAGCTGTGAATTAAATTCCCTTAACTTATGATGTGTTAAAAAAGAACTCAATGAATGAATTTTATGGTGACTTCCCCACATTAGTTGATGGTGAGCAGCAGGAATTAACGATACATCCTACATTAATTCATGCATCATGCATTAATTCAGCATCAATTAAGTATAACATTTGTATAATGATATAAAAGTTTACCCTGATTTAGTTTAATGCTTTTCATACTTTTGGATTTTAACACCAAAAAGGAACGTACAGTTAAAAAGTACATCACTATTGTATTTCTTTAAAGTCAGAAAGGAGATATCCTGCTATTCCTCACAGAAGAAAACATATCAAAGATATATGAAACAAGGTTTTTAATAGACATAATATAGACACTTGTCATATATATGACAACTTGTTATATAACCACTGGAGTTTCCAGAATTGCCATGCCTTTTTTTAAATTCATTATTATTTGTTGGCATGTGCAAAAACAAAAAAAAAGGTAATGGAAAGAATAGTTGACATAAAAAAATGAAACGAAACTCAAAGCAAAGCAGGCGTTGTCAGGTAATTGTTGCTGACTTATCCTCAGGCATTTTCTCATTACTGGAATTAAAGGCAAAAATAGAACTAAAAAAGTTTGTTGTGTGTTAAGAAGGATATAATCAATAAAGGTGTGTGAACAGGTGTGTCTTGATCAACATGAGGTAGGACCTTCACCTGAAAGAAGTTGAACAACATTCTGGCAGGTAAGTGGTTTATTCTGGGAAAAGGAGTAACAGAAAGTCATTAGTCTGAGGGTGGATTGGTATAATAAAAGCATGATGCTCACCACTGACTTTACAGGCTGAATGCCATATGATAATTACACTTTGTCATGTCATCTGTGGTGGCCAGGGTGACAGGAAAGGGACAAATTATACATTTCAGAAGAAAATTAAATGCAAAAAAACCCCTTCATAAACTAATAACAATTAAAACAGTACACTTTGAGAACTGATTTGATACCTCTGGGGCACAATGGCTCGTCACTGGGGCAGCACCCTAAAGGCACCACTGGTTTGTCCTTGATATGGGGTACTTCAATGTACCCTGGTGGTTTTTACCTCAAAGAGACCAAACTTGTATCTCTGGTGAGAAGTGACACTTTTGTACCTCAATTGATCACAACAAATATGTCTGCCTTTTCAAAGGTTACAAAATTGACTTTAGCAGGGTACAAAAAGGTGCCCAGGTAATACTGGTAAACAAGTTTTATGTTTGCATATACAAGATGGAAACAGAAACAAATGTGTCACTGTTCAAATAATCTATTCAATTATTTTCACGTTTAACAATTTAACTAATTTCGTATTGAAACACAATGTTAGATTGTGACATACTGACTATTCTTTAAAGAACAGGTGTTATTTGCCAACAAATTTAAGTAAACACACCAATTTTGATGTCTGAGCAAAAGTATCGATGCAACTGCAAAAATCCCAAATCCAGCCAGCGATAGGCTGTCTTATTATTGTGCTCCATTTTTTTCAAATACAATTGTTTCTTAAATTAAGAGCCACTTAAAAAACAAAAGATAATCTTTCTAACCACCTAAATCATTTCGTTCATGTTCATAACACTTAGAAGACTCTGCCTGATAATAGATGAGGGCGGCATTAAATGAAATGTGGGAGGTAGGCTGTGGCCCAGGACACGACGCAAGCTGTCTGTCAATAATAGGCACCAGTAGAAGAAGACACATCCTCCACTACAGGCTACTGGTTACTGGTTTCACGATGTGATCGCAAGCCGTTTGTAAGTGTCTTTTTCTCTTTGTTTGCAACCTAGGCTAAGTGTTTTAATCATGCTGTTTTAAACTGATTTGAAGAACCGACTTGTATTTAATATCTGCGGATAGTTATTTGTGTTTCATTTGTAAGGAGTTTATTGGCTGTCATTTCCCACCCGTATTAAATGTGTGGATATCTAGTTAAGAATTATTGTATGAAATGTAAGATAGTGGCAAATCTTCTATCCGTGTTACCCCTTGATTAATTTACGCAAACGTCACGTAAACTAGAACACTGTAAGCGCAACAATGTCTGAACGATAACTGGGGTTTATTGAAACGTTTTAAAGAAGTCTTTCTCTCTCGTTTGGATTTGCACTTCTAATCCTGTGTGCAGACTTTCTGGGCTACAACAGGAATCATTAAACTGTTCTTCTTTTCAGACGCATGATGGGGAGTCGCACAGGTACGAACCAACAGTAGCATATTGAATTCCTGAGAAACGAAAAGTTAACCTCAAAATTAATTGTTTGAAATATGTCTTCTGCTTATTTCTTTTTTGTAGGACGCGCTTTGCCACCGTGAGTATTCAATGCAGGACTTTGCTTTATCTCTGACATCAAATACTAAGTAGTAATATTGGAGGGGAATGAGATTGAAGAGGATAGAATATTCAGGGGAAAGGGTTTATTTTAACATAGGCACCAGGTACCAGAGATAAGAGTGTATTGTGTTTGTGCTTCGTCATTAAACAGAATTATAAACTAGGGCTGTTTGGGAAAATAAAGTTGAAATTGTAACATTAGCACACATGTCTGAAACGGAAATGAATCAGTTGCCTGAATTAAAAGTCATATAGTTTTATTCTGTTATCTTCAGGGAAGAGACAAGTGAAGTGAGCCTCATGAAAATAACAAGAAAAGAAATGGACTCAGAGAAGGAACAAAAAGGTAAGGAGAAGAGATACATATGATTCAAATGGCAATCATTGACATTAAAGCTCCTGTGAGGAATTTTTATCTGGTTGTAAAACAGACTGAAATTAATACTGAGGCATATTAATGCTTATTAACGAAGACAAGGAAATGAGTCACAAGACTGACTCTTACTAAAGAGTACATTTGAATGCCTGAAACTGCTGTCACAAGGTGTCAATTCAATTCAATTCAAAAAACTTTATTTGTCTCCGGGGGACAATTCAAAGGCACACAGAGCAGTAAATTAACAACAGTGCAAGCAAATGAAACATTTTAACCTAAATATAAAGTGTCAATTTAAATACAACTTAAAGCTTAAACTTAACTTAAAAATACAAAATATAAAAGAGTAGATATAAGTGGACAGTGATCGGACTAACAGTTGTAAACAGATGTAAACAGAACTATGTGCAGTAAACGAGAAATAAATATATACATACAGAGCTATGTGCAAGTAGGCTAAATACTAAATGATAAGTTAATAAGGTGCATGGTGAATAATGGAACAATAGAACTAATATATACAATATAACTGTAAGGTAAAAATGAGATAAATAAAGTGACCGTAGTGCAATGATGGATAAGAAACAACAGGAATAAATTAACCAGAACTGTATGAATACTGATATAAAATGGATAGAATAAAGTGATGTAGTGCATGAGACCAGATAAAGCAGAGGCAGTTAAGGTGCACGGCAAATATAAAGGAAGTAAAAAAGCAAAGTTCACAGCTGAGAGTCTGCATTGGGTGAGAGGTGTTGGTGTCTGTTGGGGGGGTTAGGAGTTGAGGAGCTGGACAGCCCTGGGAACAAAGGTTGCTCTTCTCCTCTGTGTTCTACAGCAGGGACAGCGAAGCCGGCGTCCTGAGGGGAGCCACTCAAACGCTGGGAAGAGAGCGTGTGAGGGGTCCTGCATAATCCGACCTGCTAGCCTGATTGTCTGTTGCTCATAGATCGATGTCAAAGTCCTTACAGGTCGTCCAATGATCTTAGAGCAGACTGTGACCGTGCTCTGCAGGCGGTTTCTGTTCTGGAGGCTGGTGGAGTGGAACCAGCAGGTTATAGAAAAAGTAATAATGCTCTCAATGAAGGAGTAGTAGAAGGTCAGAAGAATGTTCTTACTGACTCCAAAGGAATTGAGTTTCCTTAGGAGGTATTTTCGCTGCTGACATTTCCTGAGAATCTCCTCGGTGTTGGAGGCGAATTTCAGCAGGCTGTCGAAGCTGGTACCCAGGTACTTATACTCCTCTACTAGTTCGACAGGATTCCCATGGATTGTGGTGATTGCTGATGCAGCCAGTTCCCTCTGCTTGTTGGAGAAGGTCACCACCATGTCTTTGGTCTTGCTCACGTTCAGTTCGAGGCAGGAGCTGTCACACCACTCCACAAACTCCTGAAGAACTGGTCCATGGTGCTGAGAGGGGCCTGACAGCAGAGACAGGAGAACTGTGTCGTCTGCGTACTTCACCAGGTGACAGTTTGGCTGTGTGGTTCTGCAGTCATCGGTGTAGAGGATGAAGAGCAGAGGTGAGAGCACGCCGCCCTGAGGGGAGCCAGTTGAGGTGTGTTGGAGGTTGGAGAGGGTGTTGTTGACCAGAACTCTCTGTGATCTGTTGGTCAGAAAGTCCAATATCCACAGGATAAGCTGGTCGTTCAGATGGAAGCAAGTTGAAAGTTTGTCAGCCAGGATGTGAGGCTGCAGGGTGTTGAATGCAGAGGAGAAGTCTGCAAACAGGAGTCTGGCTGAGGTGTTGGGGTGCGCCAGGTGTTTTTGAACAGTGTCTATTATGAATGTTTTTGCATCATCGACACCTCTGCCTGCACGATAAGCAAATTGTAGCGGGTCCATCTGGGAGTCGGTTTCTCTGATGATGTGTTGTTTTATGATCCTCTCCATGGCCTTCATCACCAGAGACGTGAGGGCCACAGGCCTAGGGTCATTCAGTGATTTGGCAGGGCTTTTCTTGGGGATGGGGATAGCTGTGGAGTGTTTCCACAGCTGTAGGGCCTGTGCTGCTGTCCAAAGAGCTCTGGAACAGGGTCTGAAACACGCCCCCTAGCTGCTCGGCACAGTGCTTCAGGATGCGTCAGACAATGTGATCAACAGCAAGCTGAAGACACAGCACTTTAAAAAATAAAGTTTTCCACAGAAAATATTCACTAGGATCGATAGATTGTTAAGAGAAAGATGGATGAGATTTTTGCCATGAAACAATAGCCCTGAAACATGATGTACATGCACAGACTAGATTAACTAATGTGTCCACAGGGGGCGCCAGAATCGCCACAAACCAAAAGTTAAGGTTAAGTTAAAGTTACAGTAATCATAAAAAATATTTTTTTTAATTTTGAGCAAACATTTAACACAGTATAGTGTACATAATATAACATTAGATAATGTATTAGTCATATCTTAATGTTTTATATGTATATCCCGAGAGATTTGCTAAATTTACATACGCTAAATGTACATACTACATTTTAAGGGTAAGTCTTATTATTTCCTGACAGAGTCACCGAAACTTCACGGTCTGAGTAATCAGGGAGCAACATGTTACCTCAACAGTGTTCTGCAGGTTCTCTTCATGACAACTGAGATTCACAACAGGTTTGACACTGTTTGGTTTGCTAATGTAAAGACCAGGATCAAGACTTTATTGTACATTAAAGTTGTAGGTTTAAGGTTAAACCTTGATATCTTTTTTTGTTTTAAGTCTGTAGACTTTAATAACATGAGAAGTTCAACATTATAAGATGGAAAAACCATATTGTTAGATCAATAAACTTACCACATTTTAACATTGTACTGGTACATTTCTTTACTTGATGACAGCAATACTCCTTCATAAGATTACAATGATTTACTAAACAAACAATAAAAGGGAAGAACATTTTTAGAAGAATGATTTAAATAATTCCCGTTCTTTCTCAAGCTTGGATCAAAACTCTGATACAGATAAGGAGCTGAGAAACCTCTTTGAAAAACTGGAGACAGAAACATGTGAGACAGTAGACATCACAAACAGTTTTGACATTACAGACGGTAAGTTGACCAGTGACCGTCATAAAACATTAATGAGGAGGTGGAGCAGAAGTTCCCTCTGCAGCTGCAAAGTAATGCTTTTGTGGCGTTTCAGTTGAATTTCATGTTTCATTTTTAGTGCATCAACAACGTGATGCTGCTGAATGCCTGGAAATGATTTTACACAAAGTCAGCCCACAGGCCTCCCAGGTGAGCATGTCATTACAAATCAGGATCTTTATGAAGACACATTAATAGATAGGACCAGAAAAAATCATAAACAGAAACATCTGTGATCCAAATCCTGAAAAAAATATGAACATTTAAACAGTTAAAATAAAAAGCCCATTCATATTTTGCACATTTGACACATCATTTCCCATTAATCATAATTATTTACATATTGTTTGTTTACAAAAATATTCATAATATTTCTCTCTAGGTTTTCAAAGGACAGCTGAAATACTCGACAACATGCTCCAAAGGCCACAACCTCAACACAGAGACGAATCCATTTCTGACTCTTCCACTGTCACTGAAGGATGCTAACAATTCAGACTTCAGTGTGGTGAGCAGATAAAAGTCTGAGTTCTGGTTTAGTAGTTATATCCACTTCTTCTTCTATTATAACTTCCAGTAACACCAAGAGATCCAAAGACTGGCTAACTGTAAATGTTAGCTTACAGAACATGTGCCTGTTCCTTTAAATGAAAAGTTGGCTGGATGCTAACTTTAGCTGTTGTCTGCATGTGGCTAACTGGTTTTCAGCTATGTTGTTTTATCTTAAATTATGAAATATTCCCTGTGTCGTTGTTTATTGTTCTACACAGCATTAAAGCAGTATTTGTGCTCCTTACTCTAAGTGTAATGTCACAGGAAAATGGTTGCAATTTGAATATATTAATATATAATTTGAAAGTGAGATCGGTTAGCTGTTCTTAGCCTACAGTTATGTTTTCCCAGGAGAGTGGCTTTGACAACGTTTTCCAGAAAAAATCCTTCAACAGAGACAACCTGGTGTACTGTGAGCAATGTGGAAAGAAAACAGGGGCCAACAGAGTGAGTTAATAAACCAACAGTATCCTGACCAAATTCTGATGTAACTCGTTTAAAGCTTTGATTTCATTTACAATCGTCTATTGAACATAATATGTTTGATGTCAAAATGTGTGTATTTTTTCAGGAATGTGCGATGCTGGAATTTCCTCGTATTCTGATTGTGCTTCTAAAGAGATTTGACTTTGACAACAACACCATGTCACATTTCAAATCAGACTGCATGGTAGAGATGCCACATACATTACAGAGACAGGCAAGAGGAAGTACATTTAAATGCTTTTCCTTGTGTTTGATTTTGAAAAACAAATTATGTAACTGACTGTGTTTGTCACTGTAGAACAAGATGTACAAACTGTGTGGGATTGTGAATCACATGGGCAGCCTTAAAGGAGGACACTACACAGCCACCATCCTGTCCAAAGAGGACAACACCTGGTGTGAGTTTAATGACAGTCACGTCAGAAAGGTGAGGTTGAATTGAACTCATCGGTTATAATTTCCCATATTTAAAACGTTAAAAAAAAACTCAATAATAATTTGTTTTTGATGAATGTTGCAGCTTGAGGAACAACCATTTGCAGACTCTCAGACTTACAAGTATGTTCAGTAAATTTATTTCCTTGAAGCCAAAATTAACAACATGTCTTTAAATGTGCTAAGAAGACCATGTGTTATAATTAAAAGCTGCTGAGCATTTGCAGAGCTTAATGGATACGGGGTTCTTCTGTTTTTAAGGCCAAGAATAAAAGTCTGAGATATATTATAAAAATGTTTAATTTATGTGCTTAGCTTTTTATGGCATGCAGCAAACAGTAACTTTTTGTTTTTGTATTCAATTATTTGTTCAACAGTTCCAGCACTGCATATCTGCTCGTGTACAGAGGTAAGACAACACAGATATCATTGTTGACTAAAATGTTTTATGATGGTTAATCAATGCATTGTTTTCATCTTATTTAAAAGACTCAGAGGGTTTTAGAGACAAGGTGGAGCATCGACAGGATGAACAGAGTGGAGACCAACGGGAACTCCAAGGAAAATATGATAAAAATGACATTCATCATGAAAAAGAACAGGGATCTCATAAATATAAACAAGAGTGTCAAGGACAGGAGACAGAAGAGAATGAAACAGGCATGTAGCCATGAGACAGGAAAAGAGGTTGGGAACAAGAGAGTTAACGTTTCAAGCCTCAATGAACAAAACAGAAGAAGATTCTCTCTTGCTTAGTATTCTAAAAATCAGCCCCTGGAGAAAACCACATCAGGACAACCTGAGGGAGGCAGAAGAGGGAATGCAACAAAGCAAAACACAAGAAGGTGAGGTGAGCCTTTCCATACATTCCAGCAACTTTAACCAAATTAAACAAATATATGTTTAACTTAAAGATAAAAAAGAATCAACTCATGATTACCCAGCTGACCTCTCCATCTAACTGATCACAAAAGGTGAACAATCAGAGTCAGAATCGTTTTTTTGTTGCCAAGTACATTTATACAGACAGGGAATTTGTCTCGGTGTTTTGGTGCAAAGCAGTTAACAAAGGAAATAAAGCAAGAAATAGCAAAGTACTTAAACAATAAAATATAAGAAGCAATTTCAAATATATCAAATAGAATTCAAAATTGTAAAAATCTAAAAAGCACAAAATGTACATAATGTGCAATGAAGGAGTTGTTTCAGTTGACAATGAAACAAAGGAATCTTACAGTGTATATAACAAGGGACTTAAATCAATATATTTGCGCCCATACCCTTGTAATTGCTGTATCCTCTTACTCAATATAATCACACAATAAATGATCATGAACAATAGCCAAAAACATAAACCACTACATACCGTAACCTTAAACCTTCAAAATGACACTTTGATTCATTCATCAAAGGTCAAATGTTTTGTCCGATGAAAATAATTTTTGTCTTATTTTCCCTCCAGAATGCACAAGTTCAACCAACATCCTGAAGAAACCACCTTGCATTGCTCTCATCGTTTGTGGTGGTTTATTACTTTTGATACCTCCTATTATTCTGTTGACTCTAAATTTATCTTGATGGAGAGAGTGGGCAGGACTTGTGTCAGCGTTGAAGATGAATTCAGAAATGTCTACTTGCAAGTTTCTACCAAAGTGATGGTGAACTAAATTACATATAGAGTACAATGGCTTCTTTTTTTAATCATTATTTTGAATTTCCGTTTTTTTTAAACAATTTTGATGACTAAGAGTCAAAAGTACATTTGCAGTTATTTGTGTATAAATGAAACAAAAGATAGCAGTTTCCCATTCAATATTACTGAATAAAGATATGGATTTTAAAAGCAGTATATTTCTTTAAGTGAAGAAAACAACCTTCATTTCTTGTAATAAATGTGCATAAAAAGCATTAAGGCCCTGAAATCATATTTTCACCTTTCATAAATATGAACAAATGTTGCTCATGAGGCTAACAAAGGTACAGTGTCCTCTCAAAACTTGAGATGGCGTTGGTGGTGGAGCAATGCACGTACAGGTGTTAAGTTCAGGTGAGGAGAAAACAAAGAGGACCCAGCACACAGCCCTGTGGGATGCCGTGTTCAGTGTGAGGGTGAACGAGGTCACTGTCTTTCACAGAAAATGGATCACCCACCACAAACGACCTTAAGTTTAATTTTTTACATTGCAGTGCTAGTGTTGATCTCGGACTCAAACTGCCATATTGACAGTGGATACTTACGAACATGTTTACCCAGGGTAACTAACTTTCTGATGCAGGACCATGACAACAATGTGGACCATGGATAAACGTTTCTTTAATCAAAAAAAGTGCTGCTTAATGAGAATTTTTTGAATATGTTGTTCGTGAAGGCGGTGAAGGTGGATTTAAACATAGTAGAAAACACATTAAAAGTTGACAATCATATATTAATTTGTCAAAAAGCAGGTGGAGCGCTCCATTGGTGATGAACATTTTTACAACATTATTGAAAAGAATGTATCCCTGCTGCTTTCCAGTGTTGGGATCAAACTTAAAAGTTATTGAAGAGGTCTGAGGCAGTCAGAGGGATAATTAATAAAAACAACATGACAACTAGAGGAAAAGATAGAGGTCCATTTGACCAATTAGATCATGATATTGCAGAGCTTTCACTGTGTTAATCTAAAAAGACTCTCTTTGTAAGAGCTGTCTTACACCCTCAGATAAAAGGACTCCACAATCCTGACATTTTCCCCTCATTTCCTCTGCCACACAGGGATGGAGGTCTGTCTTGGGGCCACACCACTGGGACAGATTTTGTATGGAGAACTTGTTTTGTTACACTCAAGCTTTAGTCTCAGACAGACAAAACAGAACTCAATGTGACAGCGAGGGCAGGTGATGTTTTTGCAGTATTGTGAACTGTGTTCCACACTCAGGCCACATGTAGGACAGGCTCGCACTGACGGGCAGTCAGTGACCCCCTCCACATCAGGCAGACTGATTGTCTTACACGTCTGCAGAAGTTGAAGGTCCTTGTTGATGCAGCCGTCATTTTCGCAGCGGTCAGATCTGGGGCCTGGACCTTTCCACTCCCTCTGACACTGCCAGCAGAAATAGTATATCTTCTTCTGATCGGCTGTACAGATGGTGCAGTGCACACACAGGTTGGAGAGATCTGTCCTCTCCACATGTGTTCTGCACTTTGGGCACTGGTGAGGATAAAGACAAGACACAGAATACTTTTAAAACAGTGCACTTGAATTGAAGATTTTATTCTGAAATGCTCCACTACTGGATGACTCACTGGCTTCATTTCAAAGAATTCTGCAGCAGCCATTTTGCAAACCTCCTGGTACGACAACAGTTTATTGCACCATTTGGTACCTTCCACCAATGCAGGGCATCTAAATACATATTGACCCTTCAAAAAAAAAAACAGGTTCTGGATCACACAAAAGAATTGATGAACAAAGACAGAGAATTTGTATTCTGCAATTGGAAATGTGACCCCTGGAGTGCCTGGAGTATATCATAATAATAAAGGAGTAGTAGTAATAGTTGCAGTTAATCACTTTGGGCTAGTTCTGCAGAGTATTTATAAGTCTTAATACCGTAGTCATAAATGAACACAAACATGATCTTTAATTACTGCTCCTGTTTTCACAGTGTAACACAAGCAAGATTATTATTTGTGAGATTATTTAAATTATAATTGACATTAAAAAATGTTTTCAGACATATACGTACCTCCTTCAGCTGGTTGAGACACCAAACTGTCAATAATCAGGGCCGACAGCGTGACCGCAGGACATCTCTGCTCTGAGACCATCGCTGTCTTCTGAGACTAAGAGGACACAACAATACCTTTATCACTTTAAGTTTTTTGTGAAGGAATATGGGTGTTTTCTGAAACAAATGAAAGGCTACTGTCTGTTTTGGTTTGACTTTATTGAACAATTAGATAAGAAATTCATCTTACATTGGATCCAAGTCGTCCCTGTTGACAAACTTCAGGGTGGTATCTAGTGGGTCATATTTCTTCTCCACCTGTTCCATTTTTTAATCACCTCAAAGGAAGAGCGTCTGAAACTAAATAAGATTTGATGAACACTCCATCTTTAAATTTGAAAATCTTTAAACGTGCAAATTCTAAGGTAGGTTCTGGGGTTTGGTGGAGAAAAATGCTAAGTGAAGAGTAAGGTATGGTATAATAATATGTTCATGTATCATGTTCAGAAAAGTTTAAAAAAAATGTTTAGAAGGGGTAGACAGTGGGTAGAGACAGAAATCGGTGAGAGAGAGAGTGGGGAATGACATGGGATGGAGCCACAGGCCGGATTTGATTTTGCAGATTTTCTACATACATGTCAAGAAGCAATCCCTCATGTAAAAGGTCTTGACATTTTGAACGACTGCGAAGAAAATCAAAAACTGGTTCAAAGGTTACCTGACTGGGCAAGATGGAACCGCGAAGTCACGGAACTTATGAGAGGTGAGCAAGGATATCCAAACTTTGAGCAGTTTGTCAACTTCATGTTAATGAATGTTAATAAAATATGATAAAAATGACATTCATCATGACAAAGAACAGAGATCTCATAAATATAAACAAGAGTGTCAAGGACAGGAGACAAAAGAGAGGATGAAACAGGCATGTAGCCATGAGACAGGAAAAGAGGTTGGGAACAAGAGAGTTAACGTTTCAAGACTCAATGAAGACTCAATGAACAAAACAGAAGAAGATCCTCTCTTGCTTAGTATTCTAAAAACCAGCCCCTGGAGAAAACCACATCAGGACAACCTGAGAGAGGCAGAAGAGGGAATGCAACAAAGCAAAACACAAGAAGGTGAGGTGAGCCTTTCCATACATTCCAGCAACTTTAATCAAATTAAAAAAATACATGTTTAACTTAAAGATAAAAAAGAATCAACTCATGATTACCCAGCTGACCTCTCCATCTAACTGATCACAAAAGGTGAACAATCAGAGTCAGAATCATTTTTTTGTTGCCAAGTACATTTACACAGACAGGGAATTTGTCTCAGTGTTTTGGTGCAAAGCAATTAACAAAGGAAATAAAGCAAGAAATAGCAAAGTACTTAAACAATAAAATATAAGAAGCAATTTCAAATATATCAATTAGAATTCAAAATTGTAAAAATCTAAAAAGCACAAAATGTACAGAAGGTGCAATGAAGGAGTTGTTTCAGTTGACAATGAAACAAAGGAATCTTACAGTGTATATAACAAGGGACTTAAATCAATATATTTGCGCCCATACCCTTGTAATCGCTGTATCCTCTTACTCAATATAATCACACAATAAATGATCATGAACAATAGCCAAAAACATAACCTACTACATACCGTAACCTTAAACCTTCAAAATGACACTTTGATTCATTCATCAAAGGTCAAATGTTTTGTCCGATGAAAATACTTTTTGTCTTATTTTCCCTCCAGAATGCACAAGTTCAACCAACATCCTGAAGAAACCACCTTGCATTGCTCTCATCGTTTGTGGTGGTTTATTACTTTTGATACCTCCTGTTATTCTGTCGACTCTAAACTTATTTTGATGGAGAGAGTGGGCAGGACTTATGTCAGCGTTGAAGATGAATTCAGAAATGTGATGGTGAACTAAATTACATATTGAGTACAATTGCTTCTTTTTTTTAATCATTATTTTAAATTTCCTTATTTTTTTTTAAACAATTTTGATGACTAAGAGTCAAAAGTACATTTGCAGTTATTTGTGTATAGAATGAAACAAAAGATAGCAGTTTCCCATTCAATATTACTGATTAAAGATATGGATTTTAAAAGCAGTATATTTCTTTAAGTGAAGAAAACAACCTTCATTTCTTGTAATAAATGTGCATAAAAAGCATTAAGGCCCTGAAATCGTTTTTTCACCTTTCATAAATATGAACAAATGTTGCTCATGAGGCTAACAAAGGTATAGTGTCCTCTCAAAACTTGAGATGGTGTTGGTGGTGGAACAATGCACGTACAAATGTTAAGTTCAGGTGAGGAGAAAACAAAGAAGACCCAGCACACAGCCCTGTGGGATGTCGTGTTGAGTGTGAGGGTGAACGAGGTCACTGTCTTTCACAGAAAATAAGTCACCCACCACAAACGGCCTTAAAGAGCTCATGTTATGCCCTTTTTGGGGTTCCTATATTTAATCTATGTACTTACTTTTGTACGTTCACAATAGCTAAAGTCCGAAAAAAGTGTCTGTTTTCATGTACTGCTCCCCTTGCTCCCTCTCTGCTCAGAGTCTGTCAGCTAAGCTCTGCTGAGCCCCCACTGCAGAGCCCCACGTGGGCCAAGTCTGCTCTGATTGGTTTGCCGATCCGCTCTGTCGTTATTGGTCAGTCGCTCAGCACGGTTCTCGTAAATGTCCCGCCTCTTTTACCATATTGGGAATGCAGCCACTGGCTCCGTCCGAGAGGAGCATAAACATTAGCACCTTAGCATTACTGTGCTACCGCAGGCTACATCATATCGTGGGTGTGCTACAGAAGTTAACGGGCGTGCAACATGAGCTGCTGGGCTTGCCACATAGAGCCAATGGGCTTAGATCAGTGATCTCACACTGACAATGACGTCAGACTGGCATTGCTAAGTACATTGCTATTTCTTGCTTTATTTCCTTTGTTAACTGCTTTGCACCAAAACACCGAGACAAATTCCCTGTCTGTGTAAATGTACTTGGCAACAACAACAAAAACAATTCTGACTCTGATTGTTCACCTTTTGTGATCAGTTAGACGGAGAGGTCAGCTGGGTAATCATGTACTGACGGACTGTTATTGTTGTCATCGGCTGCTGTTGTACAGTCTTATGGCAGTGGGCACAAAGGAGCGCCTGAAGCGCTCTGTTTTGCACCTGGGGGGATGAGGCGCTGGCTGAAGGAGCTGCCCATCTACCACAGCTCACCATGTAGAGGGTGAGAGGAGTTATCCAGGATGGATAAGATTTTGTCCTTCATCCTCCTCTCACCCACTGTCTCCAAACTGTCCAGATCAAGACCCACTACAGAGCGGGCCTTCCTCACCAGCTTGTTCAGCCTGTTTGCCTCACCAGTCTTGATGCCACCCCACCAGCACGCCACAGCAAAGAAGAGGGCACTGGCCACCACAGACTGGTAGAAGGTCTTCAGGAGTCATGTTGCAGACACTGAATGATCTGAGTCTCCTCAGGAAGAACATCCTCCTCTGTCCCTTCCTGAAGAGGGCGTCAGACTTGTGAGGCCAGTCCAGTTTATTGTTGATGTGGACTCCAAGGTACTCATATGAGTCCACCCTCTTCACTTCCTCCCCCTGGATGATGACTGGTGCAGGGGGCCTCTTCTTCCTCCGGTTTCTCTGGTATCTCTGACCTTTAGATTATGAGGTAAGAGAGGATCTTCTTCTGTTTTGTTCATTGAGGCTTGAAACGTTAACTCTCTTGTTCCCAACCTCTTTTCCTGTCTCATGGCTACATGCCTGTTTCATCCTCTCTTTTGTCACAAGATGAAAACAATGCATTAATTAACCATCATAAAACATTTTAGTCAACAATGATATCTGTGTTGTCTTACCTCTGTACACAAGCAGATATGCAGTGCTGGAACTGTTGAACAAATAATTTAAGTTACTGTTTGCTGCATGCTATAAAAAGCTAAGCACATAAATTAAACACTTAGATAATATATCTCAGACTTTTATTCTTGGCCTTAAAAACAGAAGAACCCCGTATCCATTAAGCTCTGCAAATGCTCAGCAGCTTTTAATTATAACACATGGTCTTCTTAGCACATTTAAAGACATGTTGTTAATTTTGGCTTCAAGGAAATAAATTCACTGAACATACTTGTAAGTCTGAGAGTTTGCAAATGGTTGTTCCTCAAGCTGCAACATTCATCAAAAACAAATTATTATTGAGGTTTTTTTTAACGTTTTCAATATGGGAAATTATAACCGATGAGTTCAATTCAACCTCACCTTTCTGACGTGACTGTCATTAAACTCACACCAGGTGTCCTCTTTGGACAGGATGGTGGCTGTGTAGTGTCCTCCTTTAAGGCTGCCCATGTGATTCACAATCTCACACAGTGTGTACATCTTGTTCTACAGTGACAAACACAGTAAGTTACATAATTTGTTTTTCAAAATCAAACACAAGGAAAAGCATTTAAATGTACTTCCTCTTGCCTGTCTCTGTAATGTATGTGGCATCACTACCATGCGGTCTGATTTGAAATGTGACATGGTGTTGTTGTCAAAGTCAAATCTCTTTAGAAGTAGAACCAGAATACGAGGAAATTCCACCATCTCACATTCCTGAAAAAAATACACACATTTTGACATCAAACATATTATGTTCAATAGACGATTGTAAATTAAATAAAAGCTTTAAACGAGTTACATCAGAATTTGGTCAGGATACTGTTGGTTTATTAACTCACTCTGGTGGCCTCTGTTTTCTTTCCACATTGCTCACAGTACACCAGGTTGTCTCCGATGAAGGATTTTGTCCGGAAAACGTTGTCAAAGCCACGCTCCTGGGAAAACATAACTGTAGGCTAAGAACGGCTAACCGATCTCACTTTCAAATTATATATTAATATATTCAAATTGCAACCATTTTCCTGTGACATTACACTTAGAGTAAGGAGCACAAATACTGCTTTAATGCTGTGTAGAACAATAAACAACGACACAGGGAATATTTCATAATTTAAGATAAAACAACATAGCTGAAAACCAGTTAGCCACATGCAGACAACAGCTAAAGTTAGCATCCAGCCAACTTTTCATTTAAAGGAACAGGCACATGTTCTGTAAGCTAACATTTACAGTTAGCCAGTCTTTGGATCTCTTGGTGTTACTGGAAGTTATAATGAAGAAAAAGTGGATATAACTACTGTTGAGTTTTATGTTCTCATTTACATAAATATACATGATGTGATGTATAGTTTGACTTACAGTGTTCATATGTATATTTTTTATACAACGTTTATTTTGTATGCACTTGAAGAACAGTGTACATGTTGAGATCTTATTTTGTTATTCATGACGTGACTTCCTTTTGTGATGCGTTATATTTTGCGACCTACTTTACGTTAAGATGAAAGAGCGGGAGATTGGTTGTTGTGTTCCATGGCTGCTGATAAAATGCTATTCCAGTTAGCTGTGAGGAAGGAATGAATAAAAAGGTGACGTGATAACACTAAAGTGTGATTCATGGTAACATGGCTGACGAAGCAGCCGACCCACCAGTTTAAGAAGTCAACCCAACAACTACTAAACCAAAATTCAGAACTTTATCTGCTCACCACACTGAAGGTTGAATTGTTAGCATCCTTCAGTGACAGTGGAAGAGTCAGAAATGGATTCGTCTCTGTGTTGAGGCTGTGGCCTTTGGAGCATGTTGTCGAGTATTTCAGCTGTCCTTTGAAAACCTAGAGAGAAATATTATGAATATTTTTGTAAACAAACAATATGTAAATAATTATGATTAATGGGAAATGATTGTCAAATGTGCAAAATATGAATGGGCTTTTTATTTTAATTGTTTAAATGTTCATATTTCTTTCAGGATTTGGATCACAGATGTTTCTGTTTATGATTTTTTCTGGTTCTATTATTAATGTGTCTTCATAAAGATCCTGATTTGTAATGACATGCTCACCTGGGAGGCCTGTGGGCTGACTTTGTGTAAAATCATTTCCAGGCATTCAGCAGCATCACGTTGTTGATGCACTAAAAATGAAACATGAAATTCAACTGAAACGCCACAAAAGCATTACTTTGCAGCTGCAGAGGGAACTTCTGCTCCACCTCCTCATTAATGTTTTATGACGGTCACTGGTCAACTTACCGTCTGTAATGTCAAAACTGTTTGTGATGTCTACTGTCTCACATGTTTCTGTCTCCAGTTTTTCAAAGAGGTTTCTCAGCTCCTTATCTGTATCGGAGTTTGGATCCAAACTTGAGAAAGAACGGAAATTATTTAAATCATTCTTCTAAAAATGTTCTTCCCTTTTATTGTTTGTTTAGTAAATCATTGTAATCTGTAATTAAGTGGCTCTTAATTTAAGAAACAATTGTATTTGAAAAAATGGAGCACAATAATAAGACAGCCTATCGCTGGCTGTATTTGGGATTTTTGCAGTTGCATCGATACTTTTGCTCAGACATCAAAATTAGTGTGTTTACTTAAATTTGTTGGCAAATAACACCTGTTCTTTAAAGAATAGTCAGTATGTCACAATCTAACATTGTGTTTCAACACGAAATTAGTTAAATTGTTAAACATGAAAATAATTGAATAGATTATTTGAACACTGTCACATTTGTTTCTGTTTCCATCTTGTATATGCAAACATAAAACATGTTTACCAGTATTACCTGGGCACCTTTTTGTACCCTGCTAAAGTCAGTTTTGTAACCTTTGAAAAGGCAGACATATTTGTTGTGATCAATTGAGGTACAAAAGTGTCACCTCTCACCAGAGATACAAGTTTGGTCTCTTTGAGGTAAAAACCACCAGGGTACATTGAAGTACCCCATATCAAGGACAAGCCAGTGGTGCCTTTAGGGTGCTGCCCCAGTGACGAGCCATTGTGCCCCAAAGGTATCAAATCAGTTCTAAAGTGTACTGTTTTAATTGTTATTAGTTTATGAAGGTTTTTTTTGCATTTAATTTTCTTCTGAAATGTATAATTTGTCCCTTTCCTGTCACCCTGGCCATCACAGATGACATGACAAAGTGTAATTATCATATGGCATTCAGTCTGTAAAGTCAGTGGTGAGCATCATGCTTTTATTATACCAATCCACCCTCAGACTAATGACTTTCTGTTACTCCTTTTCCCAGAATAAACCACTTACCTGCCAGAATGTTGTTCAACTTCTTTCAGGTGAAGGTACTACCTCATGTTGATCAAGACACACCTGTTCACACACCTTTATTGATTATATCCTTCTTAACACACAACAAACTTTTTTAGTTCTATTTTTGCCTTTAATTCCAGTAATGAGAAAATGCCTGAGGATAAGTCAGCAACAATTACCTGACAACGCCTGCTTTGCTTTGAGTTTCGTTTCATTTTTTTATGTCAACTGTTCTTTCCATTACCTTTTTTTTGTTTTTGCACATGCCAACAAATAATAGTGAATTTAAAAAAAGGCATGGCAATTCTGGAAACTCCAGTGGTTATATAACAAGTTGTCATATATATGACAAGTGTCTATATTATGTCTATTAAAAACCTTGTTTCATATATCTTTGATATGTTTTCTTCTGTGAGGAATAGCAGGATATCTCCTTTCTGACTTTAAAGAAATACAATAGTGATGTACTTTTTAACTGTACGTTCCTTTTTGGTGTTAAAATCCAAAAGTATGAAAAGCATTAAACTAAATCAGGGTAAACTTTTATATCATTATACAAATGTTATACTTAATTGATGCTGAATTAATGCATGATGCATGAATGAATGTAGGATGTATCGTTAATTCCTGCTGCTCACCATCAACTAATGTGGGGAAGTCACCATAAAATTCATTCATTGAGTTCTTTTTAAACACATCATTAGTTAAGGGAATTTAATTCACAGCTGCTTCATACATTACTGTACAGTAACATAACATGACAATTTGGCTTCTTCTGCAGAAGCCCTCTCTTCATCTGTTATTGATGTCAACAAACATTGAGTTTAGTTTAGTTTATTATCTTTTCCATTTTTGTTGCAAGGCAGGAGAAAACAGATCATTTGTATTGTATTTACTGCTTCTCTGTCCCTGCAGGCTTTAATAACATTAAGTACTGTAGGCCTACAGTGTATGTGTGTTTTTGTTAACGTACATTATAAAAGCTGTCATACATGAAATGCAGCTCAAATGATTTTGGAAATGGAAATCACAGGATGATCGTCATATATTGAGAAAACAATTTTAACAAAATTGTATCTGAAAAATAAAGACAAATTCAAATAACTGAACCCTTTAAAATACAGAGCTCTTGTTCTGTTTCATGCTAAAAGACGTTTTTAGATTCAATCAGATTCAACCTGAGCAATTGCATGGTTCTAAAATAATAATTAAAATAGTGTATGATAACAAACTTAACAGCCAGCACTGTGTTTTAGGCTATCTCCATTCTGAAACCTCAACAATAAAGAGTTTTATAGCCTGGGGTCATTTACGTCATTTTATTGTCATTTTACTGCATTTTGGAGAAACAAACCCCCATAAAAGGCTTTAGTTTTCGAGATACCCCTACCCGAGGTATAACAAAGCGCAACCATATTTTTTCATAACTTGAACATGTCTAGTTTATGAAATGGATGGTTGTATAAAAATATTTTACTGCAAAATAACTTTTTTGGATGTTTTATACATCTTACCAAAAAATGAAAATAGGTCAATCAGGTCTTCCCCAAAAGGTATCAAAAATGTATCTCTGGGAATCAGAATCAGAATTTCACTAAATTTGGACAGGATGTTCACATATAGTTATTAGTTTGAATTGTGCAAAGTTTTTATCAATACCATTTTCATTTTTTTAATTCTTCACACTTAGACACACAGTAGTTTAGGCGGAAATTTAAAATATAAACAAAAATTCAAAAGGTATGTATATCAAAGTCTGTCATTTTTTAAGTAAGTACACCAAACATTAAAATATGTAATTTGTATCTTCTTTAGACTGATATCTTAACATAAAAGCAAGTTATTTGACTTTTCACTTGACCCTATGCTGTTACAAGCCCTTAACAGGAAACTAGTGCAGCCAGGATTTCAGGGCGACCTGGTACAATGGGGCCCTATGGATGTGCATGTGGGAGGAGGTGGCCACAAACAATAGATTAAGACTCAACAACAAGACACAATATAATTGTATTATGTATATATAATTAAACATTTTATAGTTATTCCTAATACATTTTTTCTATCTTACATATAATCTATATGATGACACTCAGAGTCAACCCGCTGCTTTCAACAATATTGTCACCTATGACATTGTTTCTATTTCATTCTAAAAAATTAAAGCATTGTCTTGCCATTAGTTGTGAAATATTAATGAACTAAAAAACAGTATTGATATAAACTTGAGTTCTTACAAATTAAATATACTTCATATAGTCTAATTGTATATCGGCCATACAGCCTGTTGTAGTTTTTTCAAATGTATTTCAGTCATATAAAGATGGCGTGTAGTCACCATATCTCCTGCTTTTATGAAGAACCCTAGTTACTTCAGAGGATACACCAAATGTAGGGATAGTTGTTATAATACCCTAAGTATGATAAAGTGTTTTAAAAAAAAAAGCTACAATAGCTATTTTTGTTGAATCATTTATCAGGCAACCAATGGAGCTGGGATACAAAACAATTCTTATGATGGCTTAAATGTGTGTGAGGTGAATTAGGATAACAATCATGCAAACATTTTTATAAGGAACTTCTTTATACACTTATTTTACCTCATTATATATAATGACATTTGATTTTAAATGCTAATTACAAAGGATGATTTCCACTTAAGACAAAATGACTGTGAACCTGAGAGCTTAACACTGTACAACTAAAATCCTTTGTGTCACACTAAGCATCCCCTGGGGACAAAGTTTGACCTCTTATCTCTTCACTGATCTTGTCCTGTGCTTGTGTAAGTTGTGTTTACTGATGAAAAATCTTCTGCCAAGTTTGAACCATCAACTGTATCCCTAACTGTGAATCTTGGCTGTAGAAAATGACACCAACCTGCTGAAAGCAGTAACGAATAAGAATAATTTCACAGAAGAAAATATCTTCTATCTTAACGTCTTGTTTGCTTTTATAAACCATTTAACAATATCAGTATAAGTTTAAGTGAGCTCCATAACCAACCAAAGCAATCCTCACAGGAGCTTTAAGAAAACAATTAAATAAAGATCAACAAAGTCAACCAACCAAACAAAGATAACACAACCAAATCAAGACACCATAAATCAAGACACCACAACCAAAGACAACACAAACAAATCAAGACACCACAACCAAATCAAGACAACACAACCAAAGACAACACAACCAAATCAAGACACCACAACCAAAGACAACACAACCAAATCAAGACACCACAACCAAAGACAACACAACCAAATCAAGACACCACAACCAAAGACAACACAACCGAAGACAACACAACCAAATCAAGACAACACAACCAAAGACAACACAACCGAAGACAACACAACCAAATCAAGACAACACAACCAAATCAAGACAACATAACCAAATTATTATTGATGATGATGGTAATGACGATGGTTTTGTTTGATAACCATGATTTTAAGATGGTTTCTATACTGATTGAGCTCCCAAGAACAGCTGTCAATGTTGTGATTTGCCTCTGTGCACTACCTGTCAGCATTTGTGTCCGATCTGACTTAAAGCTGTTCATTTGCACTTACTCACATTGTTTTCCTCCTCTCTAGATACTTGATTTTGTTTTACTTACTCTCTAATGCACGTTGATTTGGATTAAAGTGTCTGCTAAATAAATTGTAGAAATGTAACAACACCACAGGTAAGTGAACCCAAAGGCACGACTCACGACACAGTCTTTGATGGGGGAAAAAAACAGTCTTTACTCTTGAAGAAGATACAATCCAAAAAAGTGATCAAAGGGGAAACAAAAGGCTTGAACGCTTCTCACAGGGGTCGAAGACGAACTGGCACAGAAGGAAGGGAAGCTACAGACTAAATAGTAGGGTGAGGGGGAAGACAACGAGATGCAGCTGGGAATAATCAGGGCGGGGCAGACAATCACACAGGTGGGAAACACATGAGGGCGGGAAGTGACGGATCTGAAACGAGAGGAGAAATTAGTGACCCAAAACAGAAAATAAAACAAGATAGAAATAAAAACAACCTAAGACCCTGAGCTGGACATGACAAGAAATACATTCAACACAATCA